TATCTTCAGGCAGATGCTTGGAATATCTTTGAGGGTGAGATATTACCTGTAATCAGTTTCTTAAGGTATTAGGCTTAGACTTGTGTGTTTTGTTTTATTTTGCTTGGTAACTTACTTTGTTCTGTCTGTTATTACTTGAAACCACTTAAATCCTACTTTTTATACTTAATAAAATCACTTTTGTTTATTAATATATGCAGAGTAAGTGATTAATACCTGGGGGAGCAAACAGCTGTGCATCAATCTCTATCAGTGTTATAGAGGGCAGAAAATTTATGAATTTACCCTGTATAAGCTTTATACAGAGTAAAATGGATTTATTTGTGTTTTGGATCCCATTAGGAACTGGGTGTCTGGGTGCTAGAAACAGGTAACCTGCTGAGCTGTTTTCAATTAAGTCTGCAGCTTTGAGGGTGTGGACCAGATCCTGGGTCTGTGTTGCAGCAGGCGAGCGTGTCTGGCTCAATGAGACAGGGTTCTGGAAGTCCCAGTCTGGCAGGGAAATGGACTCAGAGGTAATTTCAGCACATCAGGTGACAGTCCCAAGGGGATCTCTGTGACGAACCCATTACTGTGGTTTTGGGTCACTATGTTCACAGCTGGTCATAGCTCCCAGAGGGAAGAATAGGAGGTGCAGTAGCAGTTGGCACTGGGGGGCTCTAGCATAGTATCCTGGTCCAACTGTACGGGGTGACTTTGGCAAACCAATAAAGTGCCTAAAACCACTATGGCTTATTGTTAAAAAGCAACTTAGTCAGCAAGCTGCAAATTGGCCATTCAGCAATCTCAGCTTGACCAAGGCAGGAGGGGAAGGGGTTTTGGGTGCTACGGAAAGGGAAGCTTGACCCCGCATCCTTCCTGATAAGAATTGCGTTGAAGTTGCTGATACATGCATTTTAAAAGAGCAGGAATGTCTGTTGGGGTCTCAGAGCTGCAAACTCTGGAAAACCCACACCTGGTTAATCAATAATCAGAAGGAGCCTCTTGCTTGCCCATTGGAACTGCTTGCTTAACAAGTTTTCTTTAAGGGAAATGTCATTCTATTACTAATGTATACATAAGGGGAAAAGTCTGAGGTAGTTGGACTCATTTGGGGACTCTTTTGGACTCTCCCTCTGGATACATCTTGCGGTCCCCACCGGCAGACGGAAAATGTGGCCACCGGAAGCCTGTCGCTGTGTCACTCGAAAGCCACACTCAGCCTTGGTAATTATCAAGTGTTGGGGGTGTTTTACTAATCTTGTTGCGGACGTGTGTAAGTGCTTGAGACTAGTGAAGTTTAGCTTTAAGTGAAAGCACTCTTGTGTTGTCCTGTTTGTGCCAGCCATCTATCGGTCGGATGGCCGTGTCTCCCCTGATTTATTTCCTGACACCTCCTCGCACAGAGTAAAGTTACCAAGAGCTTTGGGTTGAAAGAACCCCGGGTAACACAAGAGTGGGAGAATCACAGGATTTTAACTCAGTGAAGTAAAAGCACAAGCCTGAAACACTGAGAGGGGTGATCTCAGACACATACAGGGAGGGGATCAGAATTACAGCGACTGCTGAAATACGGCGGGGAGATAGAGGGTAAATAGAATCCCAGAGTGATAAACTGGGTAAACTCTAGGTAACTATGCACTCATCTGCTGTAAAATTATCACAAGATTGTTTTACTGTCTTTTATTCATTTGCTAAGCCATCCCTGCAAAAATGTAACTTGTAAACAGTGAGAGGCAAAAGTTCCCCTTCCCAAATTAGTGCCCGTTAAAACAGTTTTCTTACAGAGTTAATGAACGATAAATTCGAGCTCTCCACTCACACATCAGATAGCAAACTGCAGTAAAATTCAATTCCTCTGAAGACCTTCTGGCCTACCAAGAGGCAGGTTGTATTTCAAAGAAAATCATATGCTTACATCTTTATCAAAACCAACTTCCATACTTGCTAGAGGAACAGAGCTGTGAAAATAATGAATTTTCCATGAACCAAATTGTAGAGTCGATAATAACCGAGCCTGGCCCTCAAAGGAATTAATGAAAAGTTTGCAGGTCGAGGAGTCTGCACAGTGCATAATATAAGAGGAGTAGCAACTTAACACAAAGAGGAACATTTTCAAAATGTTCCATAGTGATTTAGCCACATGATTCCATTAACTGTTTCACAGCCAGTTTTACACTCCACCTGTTGTATCAAGGCAGGATAGTATTTTCAGTCATAATTCTCAACCTATTATTATTATAATTATCATTATTTATTATGTTATTATAATTGCACCTAGGAGTCCTCAGTCAGGACTCCAGTGTGCTAGGCTCTGCTGCACTGGACAGCATCCAGGAGTGGATCCGGGCCTGTCTGCAAGGAAGAGCAGTGGAATTCCAGGGGGAGCTGGTGCAGCAGGAGGACAGAGGGCCCCCCACTCAGATAACGTGGGATGGGGAGGAGACAGGAAGAGCATGGGAGCCCCGGGATGGGGGCAAGGAGGAGGAGTCACGAGGGGGTCACATGTGGAGGTCACATGCCCCCCCCTTCAGCTGGTGCCCCCTTTGTGTCCCTCCCATGAGTCGCTGTACTGGTAAGAGTTAAAATCTACGTGCACCATTGTTGAGGACAAACAGCTGCCTTGTCCCTAAAAACAAAACAAACAAACAAAAACTCCAGGACCCTCCTGCTCCAGCACTTTATCCTTAGGGGAACAAAGATATCACTAGATCGGAAGACCATCAGAGGCAAGAGGATGTCGACACGGAGACAGAGTTAGGAGACAGTCTGGGAACAGAACTGAAGTCACTGATGCATTCATGGAAAAAGGAGAGCCTGGATCAACGGAATCTCTTCAACACAATAGAGATGTCTAGACTAAATTGTCTAGACTATAAGTCAAAGGGTCAGTTACTGAGTTGTGTTATAGATTCAGAGTCTCAAACTATAAACCAAATGACAACATTTCAGATAAGACCTCTGGGGAGCTACCAAAGGTCCAATTGAATACGATTTAACACTCCTCCTACCCCCATTGCAAACATTATTTGCAAACAATTCTTTAAAAGTTCCTCTTCCTATTATATCAAATAACACATCTGCACTACAGTTCTGGGCAATCTGTTGTTGCCTGCTAAAATATCTGTGGCTTTCTAAATCCTTGGGTCTTGTAGTACCTCTGATTTGGCGAGTTCATATCTATCTTTAACTTGCTTGAGGGTTCAAGATCCTGTGGGAGACTGAAATCCAGCATACTTTAAGCATCCTTGCTACTATCAATAATCAGATGGAATAGCTTTGTTTAGGTACTGAAGGAATAACACAGCCTTATGAGAAACATATGCAATGCAGCAGAAATAAATGGTATTGATTAGTAGATGATAAGATGGTCCTATCGGTTCAGAAAAGCATTGATAACTCCAAACATGAAGATAATATCCACTCTTCTGATTATTTGGCATGCAATATGGTGTCTGTGGTGAACCCACAGTTTTCTTTTTGACCATTTTGTGACTAGAATCATAGAATATCAGGGTTGGAAGAGACCTCAGGAGGTCATCTAGTCCAACCCACTGCTCAAAGCAGGACTAATTTCCAGACAGATTTTTGCCCCAGATCCCTAAATGGCCCCCTCAAGGATTGAGCTCACAACTGTGGGTTTAGCAGGTCAATGCGCAAATCACTGAGCTATCCCTCCCCCCTGAAACTCTGCTCTGGACTGGCTTTCAGAATGTAAACAATTGTAAAACTTCAAGAACCACCCACTAAATATTCTCACTTGGATGCAGTTAATCAGTCTCTTGATATATTTGGAGGTCAATTGGCTTCCTGGCTATAGGTTTAAATTGGTAAAATTTGTTCTCCTTCTGCTTCAGCCATCTTGAACAGGGGAGACTCTCCCAAGCATGAGTGGCAGTGGGAAGAGAAAGAAATAAGTCCAGTGTTCAAGCTCACAATCCTAAACTATGTGAGTGTTCAAGCTGCCAAATACTGAGCTAGTGGGGAAAGCTTGCTGGTGAGACAAGTCCAGAATCTTGAGTCTTCCATATTCAAAGCCAAATGGAAGTTTCCTTTTATTAATTCTATTTATTTTCTTTCTTAATGCGTGTGTAGTCTATGGGCAGGTCTACATGTAAAACACTGCATCGGCAAAGCTGCACTGATGCACCTGCACTGCTGTAGCACTTTAATGAAGACGCTCGATTCCAATGGGAAAGAGCTTTCCTGTTGGCGTAGTTAATTCACCACTGCGAGAGGTGGTAGCTATGTCAAGTGGGAGAAACTCTCCCACCAGTACAGCGCTGTCTACACTGGTGCTTAGGGCTGCATAACTATGATTATTCACATTCCTGAGCAATGTACTTATACCAAAGTAAATCTGTAGTGTAGACCAGGGCTATCTGTCTGTGGCTGGGTAATTCCCTGTGAATACAAGTAGGCTGACCATGATTCTTTGATCAATACAGGACTTGCCAACTCCAATCCCATTAACTTTAATGGGATTTGAATTGGGCCCTTACAGAGTAAACCACTTTTGCAGTAAACCACAGATTGCAGTAGTCAAATGTTATGGCAGCAAAAACGGGGCCTAAAACACCATTAACACCCCATAATTAGTGAATACCAAAAAGACTGAAGCACCATTTCTACCCAGAGGTGTTCCTTCTGATTTGAAGACAAAAGCTGTTGAACTACGTGAGGAAACTTGAACTGTCTCATGTGGTTAAAGAAAAGACTTCATTTCCCCAGTGCTGTCATTCTGACACCTTTATGACCACTCACATTTTTACTTAAAATATATACCCCGTTAGCCAAGTATTCCGGTTTATATTTGTCTATGGTCAGTCAGACTATTCATGTGCATAACAGCTGTGGGATCAGGCCCATAATTTGGACTATCTCTTTGATAAAATGTAGCAATAGAAGAGTTGGAGTTATTCAGAAACAAGAGGCCATTTTGTTACATCACATAAGGCTAATAATTCATTCCTGACAGTATACCTTTAATTGTTAGTGCTAATATTGTTATTGTAAAACCATTTAATGTGAATGTTATTATAGATCATGAAACTGGAAGGAGGACAATGCCAAACCAGATATTTGAATCTGCCATAAATAAATCATTCTATAGGTACAGAAATAGATATGTGTTCACCCACAAGGTAAAGTTTAAACTTCTCATCCCCATGTTCAGGGCCCAGCAGAACTCTGCACTGGTCTGTATCTCATTTTTCATCTTCTCCCATTCTGATGCCACCACCTTAGATTTCCTTTAAATTTACTTCTCCCATTCCTATCCTAGTTCCTTTTTCCATGCAGCACACTCCAGGTGGAATAAATTCCCATTTTCTGTGTCCCAGGACTTCCACTAGAATGGGTGGAGAAAAAAATATTCCCCCACAAAAAACATTCAACAATCTCCCCCCGCCCTCCAAAAAAAACCCCACATTAATTGAAATTGGTCTTTTCTTGCAAAAATTTCTTTTCAGACAAAAAAAGCTGCTTTGATGGAAAGTATTTGACCAGAACTTGCCCCCATCATTACTTCGTTCAGGCCATGATTCAACAAAGTATTTAAGCCTAGGCTTAACTTCCCATTGAAATCAACAGGCCAAATTTGCATTAAGTTAAACATGTGCTTAGATGCTTTACAAAATCAGGGCCTAGGATCCCACATTTCTTCCACAATGTCCACAAACATAATACATGTTAAAATTACCAACTTAAGATGGGGAAATAAATATTATTTAAACCTGTGGTTCTCAAACTTTTGTACTGATGACCCCTTTCACATAGGAAGCCTTTGAGTGTGACCTCCCCTTATAAATTAAAAACACTTTTTTATATATTTAACACCATTATAAATGCTGGAGGCGAAGTGGGGTTTAGGGTGGAGGCTGACAGCTCGCGACCCCCCATGTAATAACCTTGTGACCCCCTGAGGGGTCCTGACCCTCAGTTTGAGAACCCCTGATCTAAACTGAGGCTTCCTCTGGGTCTGCCAATGTAACTTGCCTTTCTCTGTTAGTCTTTCTAAGCTTTCCAACAAAGAGGCTGTCTTGATTCAGACCAGATTGTCATTTGATGTAAATCAGCATAGCTCCATTGACTCCAATGTCCTCTACAAGACACAAGGGTCAGACTCTCTGGGTATGTCTACACTGCAGTTGGGAGCAAGCCTCCCAGACTGGGTAGATAGCCTCACACTAGCGCTGCTCGAGCTAGCATGCTAAAAATAGCAGGATGGATGTTGCGCTACAGGCAGCTGCTTGGGCTTGCTGTCCAAGCTCAGACCCAAGGTCCTGGATGTGTTTGGACTTGTGAAGCTAGCCTGAACTGCTGCCCATGGCATAATGTCTACACTGCTATTTTTAGCATGCTAGTTTGACCACAGCAACTGTGAATCTGTCTACTCAGGCTGGGAGACACTGTCCCACTTGCAGTGTAAACATGCCCGTTGCTGGTGAAAGTTGCATAGTTCTACTAAACTCAGTGGAGGTATGCTGAACAACCAGTGCGGCCACCGGAAGATTGAGACGCTAAAGGAGCCCACAAGGATGGTAAGGCCATTGCGGAGAAACTAAATGAATTCCTTGCATCGGTCTTCACGATTGAGGATGTGAAGAAGATTCCCAAACCTGAGTCATTTTCTTTAGGTGACAAATCTGAGGAACTGCCCCAGATTGAGGTGTCATTAGAGGAGGTTTTGGAAAAAATTGATAAACTAAACAGTAATAAGTCACCAGGACCAGATGGTATTCACCCAAGAGTTCTGAAGGAACTCAAATGTGAAATTGCAGGACTACTAACTGTCATCTGTAACCTATCATTTAAATCAACTTCTGTACCAAATGACTGGAGGATAGCTAATGTGACGCAAATTTTTAAAAAGGGCTCCAAAGGTGACCCTGGCAATTACAGGCCAGTAAGCCTGACTTCAGTACCAGGCAAACTGGTTGAAACTATAGTAAAGAACAAAATTGTCAGACACATAGATGAACATAATTTGTTGGGTAAGAGTCAATATGGTTTTTGTAAAGGGAAATCATGCCTCACCAATCTACTAGAATTTTTTGAGGGGGTCAACAAGCATGTGGACAAGGGGGATCCAGTGGATATAGTGTATTTTGATTTTCAGAAAAAGGGGTAAACAGTGAGGTGACAAAATTTGCAGATGATACAAAACTACTCAAGATAGTTAAGTCCCAAGCAGATTACAAAGAGATACAAAAGGATCTCACAAAACCAGTGACTGGCAACAAAAGCGCAGCTAAAAAAATTCAGTGTTGATAAATGCAAAGTAATGCACATTGGAAAACATAATCCCAACTATACATATAAAATGATGGAGTCTAAATTAGCTGTTACCACTCAAGAAAGAGATCGTGGAGTCATTGTGAATAGTTCTCTGAAAACATCCACTCAATGTGCAGCTGCAGTCAAAAAAGCAAACAAAATGTTGGGAATCATTAAGAAAGGGATAGACAGACAGAAAATATCATCTTGCCGCTATATAAATCCATGGTATGCTCACATCTTGAATACTGGTGCAGATGTGGTAGTTCCATCTCTAAAAAGATATATTGGAATTGGAAAAGGTTCAGAAAAGGGCAACAAAAATGATTAGGGGTATGGAACAGCTCCCGTATGAGGAGAGATTAATAAGACTGGGACTTTTCAGTTCAGAAAAGAGACGACTAAGGGGGGATATGATAGAGGTCTATAAAATGATGACTGGTGTGATGAAAGTAAATAAGGAAGTGTTATTTACTGCTTCTCATAACACAAGAACTAGAGGCCACCAAATGAAATTAATAGGCAGCAGGTTTAAAACAAACAAAAGGAAGTATTTTTTCACACAACATACAGTCAACCTGTGGAACTCCTTGCCAGAGGATGTTGTGAAGGCCAAGACTATAATAGGGTTCAAAAAAGAACTAGATAAATTCATGAAGAATAGGTCTGTCAATGGCTATTAGCCAGGATGGGAAGGGATGGTGTTCCTAGCCCGTTTGCCAGAAGCTGGGAATGGGCGACAGGGGATGGATCACTTGATGATTACCTGTTCTGTTCAATCTCACTGGGGCACCTGGCATTGGCCACTGTCAGAAGATACTGGGCTAAATGGACCTTTTGTCTGACCCAGTATGGTCGTTTTTATGTTCTTATGATTTATGCTATATGATGATGAGGCATGTTGTGTCTTGTACAACACAGACAATAATAGAATTTGACAAAGGCTCAATAATAACAACATTGGTTGCCTGTGCAAAGCAAACATACAGCAGAGATATGAAGAGTTACAGAGTTATTGTAGAATAGTCAATGATCAGAGGTCTAATACAGAAGACCTTATAGAATTAAGTGTCTTTGTGTTCCATTGTATTAAATTAATGGTTTATGTATGATTGTGGGCTGGGATTGTAAGTAACCTCTCTGGGGGAGATGTGATGTGAGGCCTATATGATCCAAGGACTATGTTGAACAATGTGCAGACAAAAATGGACTTTTGGTACAAAAAGAATTAAGTGGTTTTCCTTGGGAATTCCTAGAGGGAGGTGAATGAAAATTCCCCACCTCTGGTTTTGCAAAAAAACAGCCTTTTGAAGCTATACTCTCAGGGGAGGTTTTTGTCTGCTGATTACCTGTTACTGAAGGCCAAAATCAAAGGCCTGAGTATAACAAAATGGCTGCTCTGCCCAACCTGGATTCTGGTCAGAATCCAAGACAGTTATGAATTTCTAAAGAAAATCCAGTTTGGGGTTTTGAAGGACTGACACCTACCAGAGCCCAAGGTTGGAGTTGGTGGGGACCTCTAGTGAGCTTTTTAGTGAGCATGTAGGTTCTTTTATCATTTTTAATATGTTTTCTCTGTAATGTTTTCACCTTAAGAAAAAATGTATTTGCTTATAAAGAGCTGTGAGGTAATTTATAACTGTGAGCAATTATGCTGTTTATAGCCTCTGGAGAGAAAGCAAAGTGCAGACACTGGCTTGTTTAGGCAGTCTGAATTGCTTGGAATGTCACAATGTAGACAGGCAACTGTGCAGCCTAGAAAACCCTTGCAAAGAGGGAGAGAAACACAGATCTCTGCCCAAGATAAGTGAGGTCTGAGGAGCCAGGAGCCTAGAGTGGGTGCTTTTGAGGGACTATGGAGGAGTAATACAGGTGCAGTTGCCCTGAATTTTGACAACTCTATTACATTAGAACAGGTTTCAGAGTAGCAGCCGTGTTAGTCTGTATCCGCAAAAA